GTTGATGTGGTGGTTGGTGGATGGGGCTGGTGGTTGATTGTTGGGCAAGGTTCAGCTGGGGGTGGTTTGAATGAAGAAGGCAGACTTACATTTTCCATTTTTTAATAATGCATTTTTTGCCTCATTTGTGTTGGATGTGAGACACTATGCTTTTTTGCTTGACAGGTTTCGATCTAATATTCACACATGTATTAGGTTGCCTTAATATTTCCTCCTATATAAAGGATATTAAGAGGAGCCTCTTTTCGTGGTATTAAAGTAACACAAAGGTGAAAGTCCATAAACATTGTAGTCTCAGATTCAAAATAGTTAAATTCTACAATATAAAATGCGGATGTAGCTCTCACACTAAGCGTGAACCACTACAAATTATTGGATTTATTTTTTATTATTTTTGGTTTTCTACTTCCTGTTATCAATTGTTCTCGGTAGCACAAATTAATCGCTTATTCCATAACAACTATGCCTCAAAGGAAAAATTATCTTTTGACACACATATAACGCATTTTCTCAACAGAAACTGTCAATGAGGACTATTGGGATAAGTTTGCCAAGAAATAACGGTTAGGAACAAAAGTGTAAAAGGGGTAATGGTTAAGGACACTGGCTGCAATTTTCCCGTCGATTTTTCAAATCAGGTGGTGTTGATCCTCGTTTATTGCTACATATAGAATTTTAATAAGCATATGCTTGTTGCATCTATTTTTAAAATTTTAGATGATAAGATTCTAGCGTATGAAGCAAAAAGGATAGAATTTTGATAATCATATGCATGTTGCATCTATTTTTAAAATTTTAGATGACGAGATTCTAGCGTATGAAGCAAAAAGGCCCAAAACCACCCTTTCTCCTACTCCTTCCAGAAACACGTAAAGGAAACAAAGAAACAAATTGGATAGCGAAATATCATAAGACTAGCAGAAACAAAATTAATGTTGAATTGAAGAATCAATTCTCCACAGATATAAAGCTTGTTTGGTTCTGATTTTAATCTGATTTTCATTTAAGTCAAAGTCAAACAATCAATATTAACCATATCTTTTATGGGTCCTACAACTTTTAAACCACACATTTCAAAAACTTCTATCACTATCTACTAAAAAAAATCTAATTTTAATCCTTACCAAACACCCTCATAATGTTTTTAATTAAATATTCGCAAGAAACAAAGCAAAGAAAATGTAGAAAAAAGCAGCCTAGCCATCATTAAGTAAACAATAATTCCAACAATAGAATTCCAAACTCATTCAAGCTCTAAATAAACTACCCACCAGATGTCCAAAAATAAAAGAGCTGTATAATTTCAAGGAAAGATAAATACTGAAATGAGATTATAAGGATGAGTGGAAAATTGGAGATGGAAAGGAAAGAAATGCAGATAGCTACCATCTAATTAGTATGTCCGAGGATCTAGCATGTAGAAAACAAACAGTTAAGAAAGAAATAGAAAAAATCAGGTCAGCCAGCATGAAAAATTTTGTTTCTCTTTTGTTACAATCAAATAGCTCTAAGTTCTTTCGGGCCTTGTTAAAAGTCAGCTGCATGTCAAAGAAATTTTTTATTTTTTATTCATTATTATTTTTTATTTTTGGTACTCATTAATAACCGTCTTGTTCATTTACCTTCCTTTTTACCCAGTAGAGCCATAAAGTGGAGACAGGTTGAATCTTGAGAAAAAGTTCGTGATCATGTATAATGATATTTATTCATGAATATTGATGTTCATCTCTATTAGAGATGATCAGCAGTATGTAGCAATGGGGTCACTGCCACATTATCTGATAAGTTAGGATGCATATTTTATTCATTGGATAATATGATAGTGACCCTACTACCTCATTATTCATCAGAGGATCTACAATGTACATATTCTACTGCTCCCTTGCTAAAACACCCTAGAAGCTCGCGTGTAGTTTCTGAAAGTTTTTCCCAATTTTTTATCTGCCCCTAATCTTATCTTAAATTGTTAAAAGAGTAAAGAATGACAACATAATGAAAAGAAGAGTGATCACAGATTCATATGGCTCAACTGAAAAACATTTAAATCAGATGAACTGCAAATACACAGAAACAAGAGGACCCAAGATTTAATATAAGTTTACTTTAAAGTCCTTAGCATAACTAAAGAAGCACAAAGACACCAAACAACGATTAAAATGCCACAGAAGAAAACAGCCATTCATTCAGGCCATATCAGGACTTTCATAAACTGAATGCCGAGAATAACAAGATACAAATCATTTCATCACCATAAACTTAAACCAAATTAACTTTGTAAAGACAGTTTATTCACCTATCAAGTCAATTTGCATATTTCGTCGTTATTGCTGTCAGCTGCAATTAAATTTAGCAATTCATTTAGCCAAACAGGAGCAAGGTCCAGATATATGTGGACAGTTGCTCACGATAAAGAAGAAGAATATAGCATTCCCGACACAGCTTTACCCAAAGGGTGACCATTCGCTCTGAATTTTCGCTTTTTTGCCTTTTCATCTGTAAGTGGACAAACTGTTTTGATTCATAATCAATCAGACATGTAAAAAAAGAAGCACCGCCAACAGTGAAAAATCAATTAGCATCAAGTTAATAAAACTGCAGGTAAGGCTGATGAAAATGCGACGTAAATGGTTTTATTTTTTTTGATCGGCACGAAATGGTTTTATTTATTTCTATGCCAATGGGCTCAAGTAGAAACAGCGTAAATAAAATAGAGTACACAGAATACATTAGTGCAGGCCAGACACTAGCAAGAAAGTATTTTATTAGAATCAGGCTAACTGTTAGGGAGAGACGAATAACTGACCTAAGTATTATCCTCATCGAATCTCGTCACTTATTTAGCGCACGAACTTGACCCCTCTGAAAGGAAATCCTCTCTGGGAACACGAGGAGAAATGTGAGGTAGAATTACATTTCAGATTCAATAAAAAAACTGTATAGATGCAGAGGCGAGATTTTTTATTTGTCAATTTTCATTAATCTATGAATTTAAATATAAAATGACGACCAACATTAAGCAACCAAAGACAGAGACGACAACATAAACACAAGGTGCAACCTAAAACAAAATAAAAATATGCCTGTAATTGTCTACATAAATATTAAATTCAACAAAAGACAAGACAGAGGAATACATAAATTGTAAATTGACTAGATAATCACATAATATACATAATACAGGCAATTGTGAACTACTTGACTAGAAGAATTTACCCATTCTTGATCTTCTTTCCTTTCCTCTTTTCTTGTCCATGTTTCTCGATCCCATCACCTCCCCCCTGGCCGCCAGGGCAAACAAGGCTTTCAACACAAACCTCGGGATAAAATTTGTCAGGCAAACCACTAATGTTGACATTCCTAGTAGTTTTTGTAATTAAATCGTACCAAACAAGTCTTTTCTCATCACAATTTAAAAGAACCTTTTCACCATTCTTTGAATAAGCCAATGGCTTCAAACAAACCAATGATTTCCAAAAAGACAAAATACTTGGGGAACCAACTGAAAGCAATTGAGTCCAAGATTCCTCCACCCCATATTCCTTCATCACCCATATGTCAGTAACACCAGAATTGCTAGCAGAAACTAAACAAAGACAGCCTCCTAGCACATCCAACTTCCTATTAGCATTCTTGATCACAATATTAGGAGGCAGCATCACCTCATAATGGTTCTCATTCTCAATACTAAAAGCCATGATTTTAAATGATTTGGCCAAAAAATCCTCCACCAGAGTATGAAATGCCCCATGGACCACTTGTACATCCCACTTTTCGCAGTTTTCATTCACACGGGGCAGTGGATAAGGAAAAGCAGTGACCCTGTTCCAGGAATTCGATTTGAGTCTATAAATATCAGTTGCAGAGCATAAACAGGCACGGCTTGATTCACTGCAGAATTCGACAACACGAACAACTTTATAATCATCATTTCTCAAATCGTAACCAAGCCCATAAAAGACCTGGGAAAGACACAATAAAGGCGCTGGATATTCAATCGGGGCGTCAGGTAAAATCTTGAATTTTCTCGAGAAAGGGTTCCATAATACAGGCGGTACAAGGGGATCACTCATTACAAGAATCAACCCATTACAAGAGTTGGATATGCAGTCAAAACCCTTGTAAGAAACCGGGGGTTTAATGACGTGGGCTTTGTCAAGTAAATCCAAATCTACATAATAAAGACCCTTACCCAGGCATCCGAGAATTAGGCTGTGATAGGAGTTTGTCGCCGTGGATTGATGCAAATGCATTTTGATGAAACTTTGGCTGTCTATTATAGAGCACCATGCTCTGGAGACACACCTGAATTGCAAAAGGGTCTTCACTGGTAAGCGTGCTAGGATTTCTGAGATGATATCTGAAGGAAGCATATTTTTCCGTATTAGGGTTTTGAATTGATTGTTGATCGGTGAATAATGAACCACGAATAAGGGGAGTTCGACTGGAAATTCGTGAGCTAGGTAATATTTATAGAATTCTGCGGCAGTGAAAAATTAAGCGCATATGTAGCTATCCTTAAAAATAAGAAGAAGAAAAAACTATTGATCCGAGGTTTGAAAGGAGATTTGTATGTTTGAAACAGGAGTCAAGAGGTGGCAATGGGTGTGCAGGAGTTATCAAAATCGTTGGACTGAACCAGCAATTTGACTCTGTTCACTCAAATTTTAATCGGTTTTTTTTTTTTTTTTTAAATTCAAATCAAGAATCAATGAATTCCAATACGGAGAACCATTAAATTTGATTTAGGTGAGTGCTCTCAGAAGATTTTAATGAATTTTAAAAGATTATAACTTCTAATAAATTTGTGAATTTCAGTAGATTTTTACAAATTATATAATAATCTCATTAAATATGGTGAAATTTCAAAATATTTGCTTATATTTATTTTTAAACTTGAAATCCATCTAAATCTTTTAAAATTCTTCTATATCCTTATAAATCTATTAATTATGGAGGATACTTAAATTTTAAAGGATTTCATTAAAATTTTAATTGAAGATGCCTAAATTTTAATGAATTTCATTAAAGTCCAATAAAGTCTCAATTGAAGACGCCTAAATTTAGAATTACTTTTCAAATTCATCAAAATCTCAATTGAGGACGCCGACCTTAATCATTTTACTTTTTCTCCGTGGTCCCTGTTTGATAACCAAGTATTTAAAAACTCCCTTTTACATGCTTATTTTCAATAACACATTAATACAATTAAATATTTTATACGTAAATTTAAAATTTTTTACTACTTTTTGATCACACATTTTTCAAAAAATTATTATTCAAAACTCCACTTTACTCAAATAAAGATTGTCAAAGGAACGAATTTAGCGTGGGACAGTAAGGTCAGTTGTCTCCACACAAAATTTAAAATTTTGAGATGTTTTCAAGATTTTAAAAAAAATAAAATTATAGTTTCCAATTTTTAGACCTACAATTAAAATTTTGTAAAATTGTCCCCCCACAAGCCTTTTATTCTGACTCTGTCTTTGGTTATCACCGAGGCATAATTTCAGAGGCGAACACAAACTTTTTGAATGAGCGGGGGAACACAATCAGACCTTGTATAGTTAAATATTTTGTTCTTGATTTTTGAATAATTCATTTTTGACTCGAGAAAATGCAAAATTAAGTTTTAAAACACATTCTTTCATTAATATTTTGTTCATTATTTTCATCAATTTAATTTTGAACAGTTATTTTATTAATATTTTGCTCATCACAAGAAAATGTGTATTTACGTTTAAAGAATTTATAATATATTTGATACAAACGATCAATTTAAGTAATAAAAAGAAAAAAATATAATCAATATTCACTACTAATACTCAATCAAATAAACACAATTTGTTAAATAGAAGTCAAATTGGGTATAATTGTTTAAGACTCATTTTATATACACAATTTGATAGGAGAAAATGCAAATTTAGGTTCAAAATATGATTAGGAAATGAAGTAAATGTTATAATTTGTAGAGAAACTATAGACAAATTTTAAAAAATTAGAAGAGTTAAGGTTTTGATAAAATGCGGGAGTGAGAGAGTCATTATGAAAAATGAAAAAGTTTAAATCTATTGTGATTTTATCAATGTTTGATAGATATTGATGCTACCAAAAATCGTACCTGCTGATTTTTCGAGCTTGATGACTGGTGAGGAGCACGAACGTGATCTTCCGATACCTGAAACAAAGGCAACGAGGTGTGTTCTCGTCGCCCCTCCGATGCTTAAGTCAGAAAGGGAAATATATGCGTGAGGCTATGTGCTGAAGAACAATGAGAAAACGTACCTGAATAATGGCCCAAGGTTCTGCTTTTATAGGAGTAGGTAGTGTACTCCTAGTAGGATTGTGTTGGTTGGATGTTTTTATCCAAGGGAATTTCTATTATAAAGAATGTCCTACTTGTAATGGAATTGTTTGACAAGTGGTGTTAGGGTTGATGTAGAATTCTTGGGTGTTTAGGAAAATATTTTCCTTAAAAACAAGGAAAATTAGGCATATTTTCAAAAGTTGGAAAATGTTTTCCATGGAAAAAATAGCAATCAAACACTCCAAGTGAAAATTTGGATGGAAACCAATATTTTCCATGGAAAATAAATGTAATCAAACACACCCTTATTGTAGGATGAAGGATTGAAAATTTTTAAGAAATTATGGATGTAAATAGCGATACCCTAATTTTTATTGTAGGATGAAGGATTGAAAATGAGACCACGATTTTGAAGAATTGCAATCAAACCACTACATTTATCATTCTTCGTAAACAAAGGACCATTTTCTTGCTAGCTTTAAATTAAGAGTCTGTTTGATTGATTTTATTTTTTATGGAAAATGTCATCTTTTTATCCAAATTCCTACTTTTGAGCGTTCAATTGATAATTTTTTTCATGGAAAATATTTTTTAACTTTTGGTCATATAACCATATTTTCCTCGAAAACAATGAAATATTTTTCTTTTAGGGGTGATTTTTATTTTCCAGATAATTCACTCTCTCTTTCTCTTTGTTGTCTATCCTCTCTCTCATCTACATACCAATAAAAAATTAATAAGTATAATATTTTCTAGGTTGAAAATAAATTAATTCCTTGAGAAAAAAACTACAAATAAAATGTAAAAATTTGGGTAGCAAGAATTGATTATAACAATAATGTACATTTAATGACAAACAATTTAAAAATTCAAATGTTGAGTTTTTTTCATTTTTCTTTTTGATTTTTGATTTTTGATTTTGTTTTTTTTAACACTTCAGAAACTTTTACATGGTTTTTCAAACATCGACACACCGTTCAACCAGTGACCTAATATCTTGGCCGAATTTATGCTCGAAGGGTTTGATAACTATGGTTGCGTGTGATATTCATTCTAACGACGTAAACCTTTTGTTGGAGAGTGAAGTGCTACGGAAAAATAGGTTTGGACACAAGTTGGCAAGATAAAGTTTACAGAAAATTATGGTTACAAATTCCTTTACACGGATTTCTCACAAATTCATTGCATTAGTCTATAACTGCAAAAACAAACAGTCTTCTGAGCACCATTACAAACACTTAACAATCAAAATAAAGCTCTCAAACCGGCAAAAGGTCAAATTACTCTCATCTCTAAGGGGCTTACACATAAAGATAAAGGTCTGTCTTCTCGTTCATCATCCACTGGAACTATATTGAAAGCAGCAACAGCCCTAGAAGTCTTTGCTATGCTCAGAGAGTACGCAAGTTCGTTTTCTTTGGGAAAACCATTGGCAACACCGTCTTTGACTTCCTGTCATTGTAATCAATTTTCTGAGAAGAAATCCATTCAGACCATAAATATTAAAGTTTTCTAGTATAAAAAGGTAATTCATGACTACACATACGAAAGGCAATAATATGCTAAAATTATGAAGATGTAGAACTCGTACCTCAATTGAATGGCAGGATGATATGAGATATTTGATTGAAAAATTTATCAATGAATAATCTTCAATTGATGTACAAGCAGTTATTCCACTTATCGAAGCATTTGATTAGTTTATTGAGGCTAAAATAAATGGTTTTGTCAATAATTTACTCTGAAACAACAGATTAAGTTAGATTTAAAGAAACGTTTACATCAACCGTAATTGTAAATAAATCAATAACCCTCTCTTGCATCAATACTAATTAAGCCCTTGATTGGCTACTGTTTATAAATTACTTACAATCAGTTAAACAACTTTTTATCCACATATTTCATGAAACCTGCAAGTAGTATCCACTTACCATTTATAAACAACTCCAAACATGTTTTCAAGTCTTAAACTTGCTTCTGCCCATAAATCATAGAACAAACTCAGTAATTTTCCCAAGCAACCCGGAAATTTAAACAAACAGTTTCAAAGAACTAATCGCATCCATTATGCATCAGAACAGGTCTGTGTCATTATTTTTCCTTCTTTTTCCATGCAGAATGGCACCAGCTGCTGCTGGTTAGCTTTTAAAATAAATTCTTGAAAATGAATGTTCATAAAAAAGCCTCCTCAAAGCATCTCCAAGAGAGTTCTATTTATAAAAGAGCATCTTATATATACGAGTATATCTAAATCTAGAGGGTAAAAATTTTATACACTGTAACGATGCTATCTATTCTGAATCTTAATTTTGCTTTTTTCTCATCTTTTATTTAACATATTTTTTTTATATGTCATTGGCCAGTCAATTCAAATATGATTGAATAACTTAAAGAATGGAGTATGGAAATATAGAACTTATTAAATGCAATTATTATAAAGTAAGGTTATAGAGTGAGTTTAGCTCTCCAAATTATTCTCTATTATAAAAAGTTAAAATTTAAAATAGAGAGTCTCTTAAACTTATTTTCAAGCATTGACTCTATAAAATAAATTACATTTTTTATTTAGAGTCTTTTAAAAATGCTC